GTGGTTCATAAATTTTACCCCGTTTGGAAAAACGAAGTGATTACCATAGATTTTGTTTATTGAATCTATTCAAATATGAAAAGAGGTATCATTCGAGAAAAACTAAAAAAACAGGTTTACAAATATAATATCCATGACAACTGACCACTATTTGGAAAGTTTTATAAATATTCTTCTAAATAATCACTAGTTAAATACTTATATAAATTGTAAATTTTATTTTAATATTGAATATTTAGTGCTCAGAATTCTTCACTGTAAGTAAATATATAATATCAGATAAAGCAAGTATTATTATTGTTAACAACCAGATCAAAAATTATTAGAAAAATAGATGGAAATATAATCCGATTTGTTTAGATCATTGAAATATGACATGAAATATCACATAAATATGATAGTTTTTTGTACAAAAAAGATACTGTCAATAGGACTCGCACCACACTTCGATAACAAGATATACCTGTATTTACTTTCTAACTCCAGCTACTTTCAAACGTTGGTTTTGTATAGAAGATTTATTGCTAGGGATCGAAGAAGATTGATTTAAGCAAATAAAACATACGTCTAAAAAGATGTTTAGAATATTTGAAATAAGATAGAGTAACACATTGAAAAAAACTCATGAGTTATCAAGGAGACAGAATATTTTATCATGATGAAAATAATTTTAAAAAAGTTTGTGTGGGAAAAATTGTTGCTGAAAAACCGAGATTCACATATACAAATAAAAATAACAGAATATTCAGTTGACAAGTTAATTTCTGGGGACGTTTCAATATCGAAAAATTTAGCTTACCAAGTTGATTCGACAGGATATCATTATATCAGTTTTAATCAATTGCATTATCCTCATAGAATAACCAATCTGTGTTTAGTGTCTAATGTTAATTTAATTTTGTCATTCAGATTCCTAAAGTAGATACAATGAACTAAAAAGAAACTTGATAGCGTCACAATGCATCACCGTATTTTCTATTAAAAAAACTAGTTTAACGTAGGGATTAAAAAGAGAGAAATTCCAACATTGTTAGTATTCATTGGTGAAATGATTTGTACTTCTTTAGAGATCAATTTATGTACTTAAAGTTACGAAAATGAGGGTTATTATTTAGAATAACATGATGCTATCGCATTGTAAATGATAGAGAATGCAACACAACATTGAGATGCTCAGATATTAAGTTTTTGTTTCCAATCAATCAACATTCCAATGACTTTACCATGATGAGTGTTGAAACATGGAAATCAAGCCAAGAATTCCATGTCAACTATGTTTTCTCCCATTTGTTAATTGTCACTTAGTGCTAGAAATTCTAAGCGTTTATTGTTAAGGAAAGACGTTACGCGAAGTGGATGTTTGTTTTAAAGTTTTCTAGAAATAACCTCAAGCTTTTAGACAGAAAAAGGAGATAAGGTAATATGTAGTAGTTTCGGCGTTACATACAAGCAAACAATTGCGATTACAAATAGAACATAATGTGCTATGAACAGTTGAATATCACATTGGATAGAGATTTGTGTAGAATATTTCTTGAATGGTATAGTTCGAATAGCCTACTGTATAATGAAAACGTGACTATCTAAAGAATAAAACATAGAGAAGTTAAATGTTATGTAATAATGTTATAATATTCAACTAATTACCGTCAACTTTACCAGTATCTCGCATATGTTTACATTATAGTCCTGAAAGTAATCGTTATTTAACAACATATATAGGGAGTATGTTTTCTACCACGGTATAAAAGAAGGTTAAAAGATTATTCTGTACTAGGTGACTAGTTGTTGGCTCTTACAACAGAAATAGATACACTAAATGGGGATATTGTAGTAAATGCATAATTTGCTGAGTATCTAGTCCTTTTTATACATATATGGACGGGACGAATTGGTAATAAGCGTTAAGGGTAGAAGTGGAACTTTGAATAAGAATCACAAATTGGTTATAAACCTGAATCTAACGGAATGATTGAGCCAATCACTATTCATGTGTAACTGATTATAGTAGAGTAGGAAGCATATCTAACCATAAACATACATCAAGAGTGAGGAATCATAAAGGTATATGATCGAAAATATTTGCTTCTATTCTTTATCCATTTCTAAGGCGAAAATATTCACAAGATTGTTCTTCAATAGAACGAACTGTTATATTATCTATGAAAAAATCTCAATTCTAAACTAGGGATACTTAACCACAAACACTTTTTAAAATATACATTACACAATAGAAACATGTCAACAAGAGACTGATCGATTGCAGTCTTAAACATCAATGGGAAGATTCAAGTAAACAATGTCAATTGGATTTAAACTTCACCCCATTGCACAACCAAGTGGCTATTAGGACTCAGTAGCTAAGTGGATAACGCGGTGATGTTTGAAGCGAACGGTACTGTGTTTGAGTCCCAGAGTGAACATCAACTCTGAGATGCAGGTACATCCAGCTGACGAGTCCAATAGAACGAAACGCGCGTTCTGGATTCCACTGCTTACCACTATCCATCTTTGCTTATAATATTTGTGAATTAAGGCAGTACACACATTATGCACATATGCGAATAAGAGACTGATCAATTGCAGTCCTAAACATAAACGAAAAGATTCCAGTAAATAATATCAAGTGGATCTACAACATTTATTGAAAAAAATCACTATCAAACGGGAAAGCAAAAGGTACACCACGTTAAGATAAGTGAAATGACAATAAGAATACTCTATTATTCATGTCTAGTTAAAAAGTATGGAAATATTTATGTGATCTATCAACAATGATTCAATATATTATAACAACATATCCAATTAACCACATATTAAAAGAATTATAGATTTTATTCTTACATATGATGCTCGACTGGCTAAACTAAACTTATTTCCATTGTTGTATTGAAGAACCAGTAGAGACTTGATTATAGTTTACAAATTATTTAGTGATAAATTTACATCGCAGATGTCCTAATTTTTCTTGCCTTCCAAAACAGAGAATTTACGAGGACACTAATAAAAAACAGGTTCATAAATCCAGGACAAATTACTTATCCGCTAACTATCAACTTTTCCAATTGAAACATTAACGGATGGAATTCATTACCTTAACATGTGATTTACTCTCACTGGCTACCAAGGGACTGCATCTCCTAAAGTTTTTCTACTGCCATGTGGATCAGATCTTTAGGTCGAAGGCTCCGGGTGTGGCCCTCTAAGAAAACCACCTGCTTCGGTTTGGGCACCCGGGCAGTCCTAAACATAATGCGTCACCAGATCTATAACGCGTCAGTGAGAGCAGTTTTGATCTATGCTTGTGAAACCTGGCCCCTCTGACTTAAGAATGTTAGACGACTCTGTGTTTGATCATCGTTATCTCCGAAGGATTGCTGACATCCAGTGTCAACACCATGTCAGTAATGCAGAGGTTCGGCATCGTGTGTTCGGGCACAGAGACCATAATACAATTGATGTCATCATCTTGAAACACCGACTTCGGTGGCTTGGACATGTTCTACAAATGTCGTCCCACAGAATTCCTCGTCGTACATTATTTGCCATTGCTGGGACCAGTTGGAAAAGGCGAAGAGGTGGTCAACGTATGACATCGTGTCTTAGTTTGGAAGAGAGCTACAAAAGACTGGCCTCTGTTGGTCCTTCACGACTCCCTGGCTGGAGTTCGAGAGATGGTGCAACACAGTGGCTAGAGACATTGTCAGATATGGCTCAGAATAGAAGTCTGTGGCGATCCTGCTGTAACCTTCTTTTACTTTCTTCATAAAAAGTGGTTGTATCTTCCTTAACTGAAAGATTTCTTCTGGTTGTACCTTTCCGTTTCCCCCACTATTATTATTACACTACCATACACTAATCTGTGATCACTATTCTTCTTTTTTTCTTTCTTCTCTCTGATACGCACCTTACATTCTTTTTCTCTTCCCATTCTCATAATTATTGTGTGGCGCATATATATCTGGTGCCCCCTTGTACCAATATTTTTGTGTTCAAATAAAATAACAAAAAATAAAGATTATGATTATCAGGATTAACACAGACCATCTATCATCTTCACATTGAAATTGATAATCTGTTTTTTTTAAGAATCCAACTTTTGTAACCAATTTATTAATTAAACATTATTACTTTTTAATTCATTTGGTATTTTTTTTACTTGAATCTTCCCATTGATATTTAGGACTGAAATCGATCAGTCACTTATTTGCACATGTGCATACTGTGTGTATTGCCTCAATATTGGCTTAATTGACAAGCATTATAAGCAAAGGTGGATAGTGGCTAGTAGTGGAATCCAAGACTCGCATTTCGTCCTATTTAAATAAGAACAATTAATGATTTATATGAGACTATTTAATAAAATGAACAATAAACAATTAATTAATCTTCTCTTTAAAATGATAATAATAATAATTCATATCAAAATCAATATTAGAATTAATTTATTAACATGAATAAATAAATGAAAATAACCAGTTTTTCTTTTCCAATAATCTTTTACAGTTTATTCAGTATTCTGTACACATTCAATATGTTCAAAGAGAAAAAAATTTTTTTTCTTTTTAATCTAGTAAAGATTCCCATTTTGACATTTGATAAATCAAGAAGGAAGGAACGAATTGAACGAAAAAAATTAGTTTTTCATTATAACTCTACATTAATATACATAAATAACATACTGACCATTCATTAAAAAAATATTCTGTTAGTTCCTTCTTTTTTTTATATATATTATGCAACGTAGCAACTACTTGATTTTCGAATAATTACATTGATTATGATCAATCCTCTTTTTTCCAATTATTCAATGTTAATTTATGATCGATATGTCATCACATAATTATTACTTAATGTATCCGCTCGATGAGTATTACTTCGTTATTGTAAATATATATATATATATATATATATATATATATATATATATTAGAGTAGAGCCATGATGAAAAACTAATTGAAAAGAAACGTTTTTTCTTAAAGAAGAAAAACAAGAACATTTATTGAACATTGTGAAACTGTTGAATGAGATAATCAAATAAAGATAAAACGGTTCTCTTGGATTTTTCTTGTGATACTGATATAGGTTGAAAATTGAGACAAGTTGAATAATAAGTACCATGATTATTCTTTTGTGATTGGATAAAACTATTATTATTATTATGATTTGAATGTTTTAAATGATCAGATCTATAATGAAAATAATCCAATATAGCACAAAATAAATCTTTAGCAGTCCATGAAGCTTTGTATACCAATGAAACAATTGTTTGAAGCTAATAATGAAGGTAAAAATTAAAAAGGAAAATAAAATACATAATGTATATCAATTTGACTATATACGTATATTCATTGAAAATACCAAAAAAGAAATTAATTAAGCAAAGAAATCATTTAAATAACAATCTAATTGTCACTATGTTTGGTTTATATTTTCAAAAACTATTTGAACTAGAATTGTGACAAAGGATATCAATGAATATCATAAACTTGTCACTATTCAATTTTACTACGAATTAAGTGTAGTGTTTATATAGCGTCAATCTAGAAATAAAAAGGAAGCTTTGGTACAGTAGAATTGCTAATTACGCTTTTGTATTAATTATTTACTATCATTTCTTTGCATTTTTTTTAAGGCATATGATATTATATTACTTATTAATATGACTTGCAGATATTATTGACTCATTACTTCCACTCAGGTATCGACCAATATTTGTCTAATGTCTAATATTTTTTATCATGTTGATTCTCCCTTATTTTTTAAATTTTACTATCCAAGCGTTCCAACCTTGGTTTATGATACAATTTCAACATTCCGGGGAGTGTGAATTATAAAACCGCTATCCTCGGGATTAAGGTTAGAGTTAGCTTCATCGAAGTGTCTAACTAAACAAAGTAGGTTAAAGTTTCTGTATATCTGAAAAGAAAGAGACTTCTTGTGATTACGACAAAAACATTTATTACAAAATATGATATCATAAATAACAGTCGGTAGCTATGTCTAGAGTCAATAAGGATTATCAACAATTAAAATGAGGACTGGAAACTCACAAATATGAAAGTTTTTGCGTCTAAACAAAGATCCAAAGAACACACAAAAACTGGAAGTGACTGTCATAGGGGTTGACAGAGTGTAATTATATTGATAAATAAAGCAAATGTTATTGACTTAAGTGAATACTTGAGAATATTTCACAACGAAAAGTGGACATTACATCATATGTTCTGAGAATATTATAAACGAAACTGGTTACTGAATATTAGCAAGTAATATAAAATAATGAACGAAAAATGAGTTGAATGAGAGGAGGAAAACGGACAAAATGCAAGCGAACTTAATACCACCCCACAAAGACAACGTGTCTTTCCTTACTCTCACTAGGTATTTAGTTTGAAAACACACAGGTACAAAAATGGCACAATTTTCTCTTGCTACAGTTGCTTTGGTGAGTCTTTCTGATCTCAATTCCTTAATCGTCTCCTTTCAATAGATATATATGTCTCTATTGATTAATCCTTTCGATGTTTTAATGTCTGTTCACCTAACAAAGCCATCTTCTTCCTATTTAACACTTACCACTGCCTCTTTAAACCAGTTGTCAAATGGGTAATCGTCTCCCATAACCAAAACTTAATCACTAGTTTGTAAATCCCGTTTTTTCGTATCCACTTTGTTCGTGTTCGCAGGAGTGATAAGTACTCTCTGATTCATCGACCCAAAAACTTAGTCACTAAAAGCTGTGTTTGTCACCATTAACGACAACGACGTCAGCGTAAATTTATAACTAGCTTAAAACAGTAGCAGTAAGCGTTCAAACTGAATACTTAACTAGTGAGAGTTTAAGACTTTAAGCATATTAAGTGGATTGTAACAAAATGCGGTTGTCATCAAAATATCAAGTTGATTGTCCAATGTAGTTTCTAAGACTACATCACAAACAGCAGGCTGTTCAAACTGAAGTGAGCGGAACGGAATTTTTTCAAGTTGCAACTTTGTAATTGGAACTTAAGCACTACATAACTACTGATTATTTAATAAGTAATATTCGTAAATAACTTACGTCTTTTAATTTTGAATTGCCATTTGTACAACAAACCAAAGGTGAACACGAGTGTTCCATGGAAATTTCATCTTTGAATTCTTTGTTTAAATCACTATTATCATTATTCTTATTATCCGGAAATGAATTTATTTTACTATCTAAATAACTCAATTTAGAACAAGGAGAATTATAAACTAGTGTAGCTGATATCCATTGGATTAAAATACGTAGTTGTGGATCTGCATAGTAGTTGGAGGAATATTCTTCTAGCCCACAATCTAATATTAAACCTGGAGGTCGTATGTTCGAATGATTGTATCGATTTAATTCCGATGGATCTTGATTATTGTTGCTGATGATAAAGTCAGGAGTTGCATTCATTGAAGGGTTCTTTAAAATTACAGAAGAGTAAAAGATAGACACTTTTGGTAAATAACTAACGATATGATCCAGTCATCTGAGAAGTCTATAATAAGTATGAACTGAAGTTGGATTTGATTCATCTACCAAGGACAGATTCGTTTATTTGGCTTAAAACTACATTCCAAACATGAGGGCGAGTGATACTATTCAGTTGTCCAGACCGAAGTATAGAGAAAGAGTGGGTAGCAAACCTGTGACTTAGTGGCTGGTCACTGATGCGGTTAGAAATGTGATTTGCTGGATTATCACTCAGTAATCCACATGTAACCCTTCTGATAATAAAGTAGCATACACGAATGCAATGAACAAGCTTTAATGTCTATTACATACAACTGTACATAGCTAATGATCTTCAGTAGAAATTCATCTAAGATACTATGTTGATGACAAAAACAATAGGAAGCTTAGCAGCTCTTTGTAAAGTCATACACTAAGTTATATACAATATACGCATCCCTTGTGATTCCAAACTACACAATATAGCTTCCAATTGTCAAATACGTAAGCCATAGCACACAAGCAATTAGTCCCTTTGATAAATTTCGATAATCTTCGTCTTCTTATTATATTGTCGAAACATATTAGTTAGTTAAGTCGTAATAATAGTAATTATAATGTAAAAACATAGCCAGTGGATTTCTGATAATAGAATGTTAGAAAACAAAATACAACAGTTTTCATACTTATGTATCTGTGTCAAAGTTAGAAGTTAAAAGAAAACTTGGATTATAACCGAATTCAAATAAGAGGATATCAAGTTCTCGACCAGATGTTTTTATGAAACTTATTTAAGAGTTACAATTTCAACTAATACAAGTGGTATTTACTTAGTCACGTAGTAAAATAAACTATATGAATAATTTATTTAGTATAGTGGTACTTTCACTCGATGAATAACAAATGCCCTGCTACGGCCGAGTTCACCTTCCCTCCCGAAATGCTCTCACATGACCACGTGCATACAACCACTGACAGGGAAGTCCTACTCACTGCCTTCTCGCCGAATTACTGTTGTCTACGAAATTGAAAGGACAAAAAGTGAATATCCGGCGATCTAACCCGGTTGGTGGATACAGAGGGTTCACCTTGGGGAGTTGGAAAACCCTGGTTAGAAACCAATGGTGCATACGCGCCCCAGGATCCTGAGGGAAGAAATGGCGTACAAACCAATAATCGGTCACTAGCTACCATGGGACTGCATCTCCTGACGTTCCTTCATTGCCTTGTGGATTAGACCTTTAGGTCGAAGGCTAGCGGTGTCACTCTCTAAGAAGATCACCTGCCTTGGTTTGGGTAACCGGATAGCATCCCAGCCCTTACACAAATGGAATGATTTATGTGGCACATATCTATTTGGTGCCTCCTTGGACCAATATTTATGTGTTCAAATAAATAAATAATAATAAACAATATAATTTCATATTTCACTATGATATACTAGATAAATGATCTTGCACAAAATTAATAATAATAATCATATCTTCTACTGTGTTCATTTGTCAGTTTGACTAATCAGAACGTCGACTAATGGGCAGCAGTGAAATTAATGAACGAGTTTAAAACAGCGTGTAACATGATTCCTAAATCCCACCGTTAAAAATAATTTAAAAATATAAAAATAATTTTTAATTTTAAATAATTGAAAAAATACATAATAGAGAAAATAATCCTTCTCAAAAACACACTTGATTCAAATGATAAGACATTCTTTGGATGTAAATTTCCCTGAATGCTGAAATAAGACATTGTACAGCTATACTATTTGAAAATTCGAAAAGTTTTTCTGAAATGAAAACATGAGGTGAACCATTCATAATGGAGTTTGGTTGTATACAAAGGAGTTTTTCGGAATTTATACAGCTTGATATCAATTGGTTTGAGTATTTATTCGAATGTGTCTTCATGTATCGTTCATTAGTATCCTGAAAGAATGAAAGGCAGTTAGAATAGTATTATTCAATAAACATAATAAAATTTTCATCACTTTACTTTGTGAAGGCTATTCGAATGAATTTATCGACATGGTTTATATATATATATATATATATATATATATATATATTACGGTAAACCCAATAGTTAAAATCAAAATTTGCTTCATCATACATGAATAACTTTTCCATAGTAGCAGGCACCAATTAATAGTTGGAACTTTTTCATGTTTCACATTTGTAGGTCAGGTCTGAGAAAACTGATAAACAGTATACTCTTTGGCTGACACAAATGATCATGCTTTCGGTGTTACACATAGAACAGTCTGGGTAATACTAAGATATCCCTTTGTACCAAGCATATATTTCGTCAGAGATCAATCAGCAATGGTTGGTGGGAACTTTAATTAACAAGCAAAACTAACTAACTCCCTACTCAAAACTGAAAACAGTCTTCGACAGATCTCTTTACAGTGAATCACATAAATAAGTTGATTTTTCTAAAATGAATAGCACTACTATCTACAGAAAGGCAAAGGGAACAATAACAGTATAGTCACTGTGATTCATGGATAATTGATCGAATGTACAATAAATTATGGAAAACACAATAAAGCAAGAATGATACTCGGGTATTTACGGGATTATAATGGTATGCCATAAAATATATTATTTGATGTTTTAATACAAACTATTCCCTTTGATAAATTTGGACGAGGCAAGAACGATAAAATTTACAAAATAAAAAGAATTCATACTTGTTTTAAGACTTCGTATTATTTGGAAATAGTCTTAACTTACAAATATTAATATTATTATTGAAGGTTTTATGTATTTTAGTTAATGAAGTTGAGACTGATGCGTATTAATATGCTAGGAATGAAGTTAAATTCACTAACTAACAATTTGCTTATGCACATGTTATATTTTGATAGCTATTGAACACTAATTAATGAAAAAAGCAATGTAGACAGTATCTGTCACAGAATAATCTCAGTTTTGGTACTATAGAAAGCCAGGAACCTCTAAATAGTTGTTTCGTCCTAGTATGGGACTCCTCAGCAACGTGTACCCAATCTGTAACGAATAAGACATACAAATTAAGCCAGCTTAAATAAAACGCCTTTAACTCCATAAATAATGTATTAAACCAGTATGGGGTTGTGGAGAATGTTAAATTTTACTGAGATCACGAAATAATCTATGTTAGACAACTACTGAAAACCCGGAAGAACTGGACAGCTGGAAATATCATGGATTGAAGTTAAACTTGTACACCAATGGGTCCCGGCTTGGTAGTCTAGAGATTAAGTATACGCTGAGAGACTGAAGGTTTTGGATTTGATCCCTATGGGGTCGTACAAGCATGTTGATGAAGAGTTTCAAGTTAGGACAAAACGGCCGCTCAGTGATTTCAATGGTTGTCTAACTTAGGTTCACGATCTCAATAAAGCATATCATATAACAAGACATGCTTAAATACGGTATGCAGATGCAGTGAGGAAATGTGTAAAGTACAAAAAACTTACCACTAACTAGATTCGGAGAAACAATTATTCCAGGTTACGAAGAGTAACCCAATTGTTGGTTGTTGTTGTGTCAATATTAAAGCTAACACTAGTTAAAAGTCTATTACTTTTGTTGTGGTTGTAAAGGAAGGACAGTATACATAGTAATTTGAGGTAATCAAGAGAAAAATTTAAGGATAATCTCTACTGGCATTTGTTAAAGTAAAATATGTGTTGACTGAGGCATCCGTTTAACCCATTGCTTCTGTGTTATTCTAAGTGCAACTAGTCCTTTCTATACGATCGCTCGATAGATGATAAGCATCATTTTTTTATATTAGTCAAAATAATTATTACGACTCAGTCAGTCACTACCACCGTGAAAATGTGAGTTGGCCAGGTTCTCTTGCTAGGTAAATGCAACTATCATTTTTTGTCTAGTTATACTCGATTGATTGTTGTAAGCGAGCCGCTAGTTGCTAAATAAATTATTAAATTATACTACCAACAGTTGGATATACTCAAAAAACATATACAAGATTGTGAGCACGTATACAGTCATAATCAGTCAGTCAATCACAATGTAGAACATGTACTTCTATATATCAGTTCAAGCTACTACACCCTATTAGCAAAGAGAGATGAAATTGTCAGGTCAAATCCGAGAATTGTAGAAGTAGAAGCAGTATCATCCGTAATAAGAAAGATTCGAGAAGAAAATATAAATAAGTTAAATAAGAGCAAGAGAAGTTATGGGAAATTTAGAATCTCATAATTTGGGGAAAGACAAAGAATAGATGCGCCTGAGTCATTGCGAACGATTCTGAGCAATGTCATTCAAAGTCTCTAACCATTATTTATGAAAATCACGCGGATCCCCAACCAGATATTCTACACCTGTTAACATGGCTAAATCCAATTTTCAGTGACTTCATGGACTAATGCCATGTTTCCGTCTGGCCGCCCCTAGCTTTTTTCCAGCCTACTCCTACACCAGGAAACATCGCCTGTCGAGGTAGGCGGTGGTTGGGCATACATAAAACATGTCTCCGACCACCTGAGTTGATAAAGATTGACTACCTCAACAATCGATTTCCCATTTTCTCTTAGTATTCTATGCCTAGCCCAGGCGTTACCTACTCAGTAGTCCCAAAATACACGAGTAATACTTCGAGAACATATGATTGAATACTAGTAATCCACGAATATCCTCTCTTCTTAATAGCCATGTTTAACATCCATGACGTAAAACGGAGCGAAGTGCTATGCAGTAAACTCTTCCTCTACTTGGGAGACAGATATCTCATCTATGCTGCAAGTGACGCGAGTTGGCAAAAGCCAATCGAGCCTTCTGAATCCGTATCGAGATTTATTCAAACATCCGATCAGCAGGACTGATAAGACTCCCAAGATAAGTGAGGCGGTCGATGCGTTCAACTGCTTCACTCCCTATCACTAACTCAGGCGATGATGCCAGCCAATCCTGAAGTACCATTTTACATTTGAAGGGAGAGAACCTCATCCCAAACATGGTTGTAGTGTTACTTAAGGTGATCAGAAGACTGCATTTTGTCAGCATCTTCACCAAACAAAACTATATCATCCGCGTATTCCAAGTCAACAAGTGAATCTCTGGAATGTCAGACGACGAACGTGTTATCTCCAAAAGCATATCTATGATACAGTGAAATAAAAATAGGGAAAGCGGACAACCTTGACGATCGCTATTCAAAGTAACCAAGTTTGCCGTAAACTCTGATTCGGCCAGTAGTGTTCGAATAGAGATCCTGTACAAGGTTAATGTAATTCTTAGGTACGCCTTTTAATGACAGACACTGACACGGAACTTCATGATCAGCGGAGTCAAACACCGCCGTAGTATCAAGAAATACAACTACAGTCAGAGGTCGAAAATTATGTCTATGTTCCAGAACCTGACGAAGGGCGAAGAATTGGTCTATACGTCCACACCCAGGTCGGAAACTAGCTTGGTTTCCTTATGTTCAGTCTTCACGAGCTCTAATTAGACGTAGAAGTATTATTGAGGCTAATATTCTAGACATTTCATTAGTTAAACTGGGTCCTCCGTGATTGTCACAAGAGGATTTTTATCTTTTCCTAGGAACTAGGACGATCAGCGATCGAGAACAGTCAGATGGAATTACCCTCCCGCCAGATTGGATGAGTTTTTGAGATTTCATCAGTTCTGTAGACGCCGCTGAGATCCATTGAGGGAGGTTGTCGCTTCCAGGTTGTCCAGACAGTGGGACGATATAGTTTCTTGATGGGTTTCAAAAAGAAGCTGAATTAGTTGTGGTCCTAGGGACCTGTGAGCGTGACCGTGGGACAGAAAGAACAACTATCTGAGGCCGATCACCCAAAGCCTTTTTACGGGAAATTTTTGATGTGTTAGCTTCGCATTTCGAAAAGCTTTATCACTAAAGGTGGGAATCTGTGGGGTAAGGTGAGGTACGAAAATTTTTGGGTTGACCTATTCTAACCCTTTCCTCCCGTTGTGAGAAGACAGCATAGCTGTAGATCCTGGTTGTTTACGGGAAATACCTTACTGATGTCGCACCCCTCTACAGTCAGCAATACGACTTCGCCTTCGGGCTTTAAGTTGCTGCTTTTAGTCTTACCGTTCTCCAACCGACATGGCTGGTATGGTAGGACCTAAAGGAACGTGTGTTCCAGCCAATATAGCTCAGCTGCGTCATCATGATAGCCAAGCCCGACCTCCACGTCAAGGTAGCAGCCACGATCGGGATACAGTCATAATGGTCTCTAGTTTATAGTTTAACCCATTTAAAATAAAATAAATAGAAATTTTAAGTAATTGTTTGCAAACGAAATTACCTTGATTAGTGAAGAATTATTTGTTGGAAATATATGACGCAACTCTGGAGATGGACACTTATTTAGGAGTTGACGGGACTGGTTTTCATCTAGATAGTCTGTGGGACATCTCTTCTCACACTCTAAAGAACCATTCTGTTGATTTATCTGAAGTTGTGGAGATTTTTCATCTATATGGTAATCTTCATGTAACCGATTATCGGCAGCATTAGTGATAGAATTTGTTTTATTAAATTCAACAGCCATATCACTGATCATTGACTTCATCATATTTGATTCATTATTATGATTACGGGACACACATGAATATTTAACTTCATCAATTATTTGCTTAGATAGTAGAGTCGACCAACTCATTAATTTGTTGGCATTTCGGAATGCATTAGAAATTAGTTTATCAACATATGTATACAAATGATGAGTATGTAAAGCAGATAACTGTTGACTCTATCAAAAGAAAGTTCAAACCAAGAGATAAAATACGTACGTATATATGAACTAAGTAAACACTAAATCTTGTTTTAAGAAGTAATATACAGTACTATTGATTGGATTTTACCTAAACTACTTTCTGATTGAAAGTATAAAGATCTGTGGTTCATTAGGGTACTTGATTTAACAACTCACATTGCAAATAACAAGTTATAATTTTAAACACTTCATAACTTATGAGCAGAGATGGATGGTGGCTAATAGTGAGATCTAGGATGTGCATTTTGTCCTATTTGGGACTTGTCAGTTGGATGTGCCTGGATCTAAGTTGATGTTCACTCTGTGACTCAAATCGAGTACCGTTCGCTTCAAGCACCATCGCCTTATCAATTAAAATCATAAATATTAATAGAAGGATTTAAACAAACAATACAAATGAATTTTTCGTAACTGTTAATTTTTTAACGATTGAAGAGAGCTATTACATATTTTTCATTCAATTCATCGTGATAGTTATGGTTTGTGTGAAATGCAAAAAGATTTCAGGGAAACTAAACTGAAGGTAGTTCTCGTAAGACACTGTTCTCCAAGAAAATAAGTAAGATTCCAAGTCATAAAACAGTGGAATAACATTAAATAGTGTTATTCCATGGTAGCCAGTGACGAAAGTAGATTTATATCCCATTCAAATCCAATCCACTTGCTCGTAACACGTTTTCTAGCTGGCAATAATTCGTGATGAAAATCACTTCAAAAGTGTGTCATAAAACTAATGAAATATAGTTATTCTGATTGATATTAAAAATATACAAGAATTACATAAACAAATAAATAGAAACGACATACATATTCTACAGATTCTTCTACTAAGTTATCAGCATAATGATAAACAACTGGTTTATCAACTTCCGGATGTTCAAAACAGTTGGCTTGAGGTAAACAATTGGTGGTTACATTTCTGTAAAAAGAAGAGCGTAGAAAGAAATACTTTTTTATTTAGTAAATAGTTAAAGTTAACCATCACAATCAAAAACTTTTGGTCAAATAACTTGGTTAAGTTTCTTTCTTTTGATGTCTGGTGGTGGGGTGGTTGTGGGTGTCCATTACTGAGCAGTTGCATGCTATGACAAGACAGCTCTCTATAGTGCCAGTTGTCAATGCTTTCGCACCTGTCAGTAAGTCATGAACAACACTGAGCCTGGCACAAATGTATATCAGTCTACATCGGTATTCGATATCAACACGAGATGTCAGTTAGTCAGTCATCTACAATGTAGGAACAGGCACATATATGCATTGGTCCAAGTCTGCATCTACCAACATGGCTCAGACTATAGTTAATGACTTCAAGGACTGATTCCACCTTCTAGTTTGGCCGCCCCTAACCTTCTTCTATCCGTATCCGACACTACTCAGCATTGCACGCCATGGTAATCGGTGTTCAGGCATATGTAAAACGCGGTCCAACTATCTCATTCAGTGAAGATTTACAACCTCATCAGTAGCAGCAAACTTTCATTCACGTACGAAACATTTTTTATAATGTTATTAAACTTTTTCCGCTAGTTTTTATTTGTATTTACCGTATCCTATTATTTATGGTACCTACATCCGATGTTGAGAATTAAAAGCTACTAATTACGTCTAGTCCCTGTATGCTGGGTTTTCATTGTGTATGTTTTGCTTTCAAGTCACTTTTATGTATATGGGACATTTAACCATATAACATTCAGTATTCGTGGTTGAGAACTCATTGCATCGTGAGTCACCAAAACTGCATAGAAACATTTAGTTCCGATGATTATGGGAAGTTTTTTAGGGTTAGTCCTTTCATACATATGCTTGTTGTGGATCTCGAACGAACCAAGTTACTGCTCACTGTCGATGAGACACCGTTCCTTGTAAGATACATCAATGATACCTTCGTTTTGTGAAACAACAGCAATCACCAGGATAAGATAATTAAAACTTAAAGTTCATCCTAATAATATATTCACAATGAGACATAAAAGAAAATATCTAGGTGTTTCTCAAGGAAATAATATATAGCGTTTTCACCATAACTTACTAGCAACACTGTCGACTCGTTTTTGCGCCACACGTATCTTCTTTCTAAATTTTCTATTACGTCTTTTGTGTATCCATGTTTAATTATGAAAACAAATCATTAACATTTGTAGCTACCAGCCGGTAACTATACAATGTTTGTTGTTGCTATTATTAGGGTTACTCAAATTTGTCATACATATGAGGTAGTTTATATCACGAACTGAATCAAGACAGACGAACTCATATCCCTGGTTTCAATACTTCTTTCTACATACATTCTTTTTATTTCTACTTCTCAAACTATATTCCCAATGCTTGATCTTCCTCAGCATTATGGATACCACTGCTTTCTCGACTCCTTTATTATTCATCTTGATCATTTCATCTCGTGTTGAGGTTGGGTCATGTATTACATATGCCTGGACACCGATTACCACAGCGTGCAATGCTGAGTAGTGTCGGATACGGATAGAAGAAGGTTAGGGGCGGCCAAACCAGAAGGTGGAATCAGTCCTTGAAGTCATTAACTATAGTCTGAGCCATGTCGGTAGATGCAGACTACTTGGTTGGGGTCCGCGTGACTATCGTAACCAATGGTTGGAGACCGTGCGTGACATGACTTAGAATCGATCACAATGGCGTAGGTGTATACACTCTCTGTCTTTCATTAAACCGTCAGACTGAAATTACTTTATACCTTTCTACGAACTAATTTTTCCTCCCTGTACTATATCCTTATACACAATTTTCCTTTTATATATTACGACCATTGAAGTAACTACTTCTATGAATTTGGTGTTCATCTTGTGCTGGTAAGGTATGGGAACTCGGACTGATGCATATATGTACCTGGTCCTGCGTTGAGGCTGGCTGACTGCTACTGACACTGAATTGGTTTCGAATTGCTTGAAGACAAAATCGATAACTCAAGTGAATGACAATAAAACTTAAAGAATATTTACCTAGGATTATTTACAGATAGGATTTTTGAAAATATATAAATAGTAAAATTCTGTCTATGCTTTAAGAATCTTTACCACTTGGACACTATAAAGTGCCGTATTAGTGTCGACTTCTTTCCAAATATGAAATAAGAGAATCAATGAAAATGACTTTAGAAAAAAGCATTAACATCGTTACACCAAACAATAATCTATCAGACAATTGATTTATCCTTGGACCTAAAATTACTGTGATATTATCCCCACCCCCAAATGCCCTGGTACGGCCGAGAGTGGGGAAAGTCTGCTCTCCCTCTCGAAATGCTTTCACATAGCCATGCGTATATAGCCTCTGCCAGGGAAGTCCTACTCACTGCCTTCTCGCACCACGGGTGTTGTTTACGAAAATGAGAGGACGAAAAGCGAATGTCCGGCGCTTTAACCGGATTCCAAATCAATGGTGCACATGGGCTCCACTATCCTGAAAGGAACAAATGGCGTATGAACCAATCGTTGGTCAACGGCTACCATGGGACTGCATCTCCTCACGATGCTCCACTGCCTTGTGGATCAGATCTTCAGGTCGAAGGCTTGGGGTGTGGTCCCCTAAGAAAACCACCTGCTTCGCTTTGGACACCCGGGCAGTATCACAGCCCTCACACATATCAAATGAGATCTGTGTGGCGCATATGTATTTGGTGCCTCCTTGTACCAATATCTATGTGTTAAAATTAATTTAATTAATTATCACCATAAAACTAACAACCTTGAGTTTTGTCACTATGACCAATCTTTCTTTCCTGTATAATAGGATCATTTTAACTAGGATGGGTTATAATGTTCAACAAAATTTCCAATTAAATTTTCTTAGCTAGACACGATGCATAATTTATGACTTACAAAAAGAAATAAGGAAAACAATTTAACAAACCTAGAATCAGGACGATTTGTGGTAAATCGACTAACATTATTGCATAGTTTGTTATTTATTTTGCTTGTATTTAATAGAGAGTTTATTATATTCAAAGTGCACTGGACTGGTGATTCATGTTCATATGCATTCTGAGATCTTTGTGATAAAGAATCAGGTTTGTTTATATTACAACGAGATGATTTATTGACTTGGATCATTTTTATGGTATTTTGAATATCACACATAATTCCGCAAACGAATTTATCAACAAAGTTTAACATAGCACTAGTGGTATTAGTTTGTATCCATTTCATTTTAGTATTACGGGGGTAAATTGATGGATTACTTGGTTGGATTGATCTATTCGTTACATACCGGAACTGGACATCTGATGAAAAAAACCACAAAAATATATATATGAAGCTATTTTAGACATACTCACAAAAGTTGCTTGCAAAGATCAATTCAAAAGACGTTTAATGTAGAAATTCACAATGAAATTATTCCAGAATTTTCTGCAGTGTATAGAAAAAGACTACGCAATTGCTGAGGATAAGAATATTTTATCATCCCCTTTAGAATGTTATTAAGGTGGAGTTAAGGTTCAGTGCATCAGAATCTTGACGTTCAGTTGTAGGGAATCAGTCAAGACATTTCTCCAGGTAGTACACCTGATAATTACACAAAAGAAGCAATCTATGAGCTAACATTCAAATTTGTACACGATTACTGAACCGTATTAGTTGCTATATGACATTGTGATAATCGAAATGTTCTGGATTTTTTGTGATAGCAGTCAGTTTAATGTATGCTTCCATAAACTGTAACTAATTATCACTCAGTCAGCTACAACGTAGGACCAGGCACGTACATGCATCGGTCCAAGTTGCCATACCGCATTAGTACAACAAGATGAACACCGGATTCATAGAAGTAGTTAATTCAGTGGTGGTAATATATAGAAGAAAGAGTGTGTATAAGGAGATAGTACAGGAAGATAGAATCAGTTCGTAGAAAGTAAGATATGAAGTGATTTTAATCTCTTAGTTTAAAGGAAGACAGAGAGTGTATACACCGACGCCATTGTGATCGATTCTGAGCCATGTCACCAAGAGTCTCCAACCATTGGTTACGATAGTCACGCGGACCCCAACCAGGCAGTCTGCATCTACCAACATGGCTCAGACCAGAAGTTAGTGACTTCAAACACTGATGCCACGTTTTGGTTTGTCCGCCCCTAACTTTCTTCCAGTCATCCCTAACACCGGTTACCATTGCGCGTCGTGGTAATCGGTGTTCAGGCATACGCAACACGTGGCCCAACCATCTCAGTCGATGAAGGTTCATAACCTCATCAACTGATTTACCATCATTCCCTAATACCCTGCGTCTAACCTCACTATTACTTACCCGGTGATCCCAGCAGATACCCGCAATATTTCTAAGGCACCTGTGGTCAAATACTAGTAACTTACGAATATCTTCCACTCTTAAAGGCCATGTTTCGCAGCCGTATAGAAGGACGGAACGAACTGCCGCGCAGTATACTCGTCCCTTAATTGATAGACGGATATCTCGCCTTCTCCATAGATGACGTAAGTTGGCAAAGGCCAAGCGAGCTTTTCGAATCCGTGCTGAGATTTCGTCAGACACCAACCCATTAGGGCTGATCAGACTTTCAAGATAAGTGAAGTTGTCGACGCGTCCGACTACTTCACCCCCTATCCTTAGTTCAGGTGTTGACGCAGATCAGTCCTGAAGCAACAACTTGCATTTGGAGGGAGAGAAGCGCATCCCAAACATTCTGGCATTGTTGCTCAGTGCTACCATAAGACTCTGCATTTCATCAGCGTCTTCACCAAACAGGACTATGTCATCTGCGTATTCTAAGTCAATAAGTGGACTTCCTGGTAGGAGATCAATACCTGAGAATTCAGTCGATGAGAGCGTTATTTCCATCAGTAGATCTATGATGAAGTTGAACAAAAATGGAGAAAGTGGACAGCCTTGGCGGACGCCACTTGAGGTTGCAAAAGCAGATGACAGTTCGCCATAAGCTCTCACTCGACTAGTAGTGTTCGAGTAAAGAGCTTTCACAAGATTTATGTACTTCTGAGGTACGCCTTTCAATGACAGACACTGCCACAGAACCTCTCGGTCAACAGAGTCAAACGCTGCTTTTAAATCAAGGAAGACCACCATTGTCGGACGCCAATAAGTATGCCTGTGTTCTAGAACCTGACGAATGGTGAATATGCGGTCGATGCAGCCACGACCAGGTCTGAAGCCAGACTGATTTTCACGTGTTTGCAGCTCACGAGTCTTAGTTAGGCGTCCGATAATTATCGAGGCTAGTATTTTAGATACTATATTAGTTAAACTAATCCCTCTATGGTTGTCACAGGATGATTTTGACCCTTTCTTAAATATTGGGACGATAAGCGATTGTGACCAGTTAGATGGGATAACGTCTAACTCCCAGATTTTAGCTAAAATATTAGTCAACCTAATAGCTAAAACTAGACCACCATCCTTAAAGACCTCTGGGGCCAATCCGTCTGGACCAGCTGCCCTTCCTCGTTTCAGATTAGCTATAGCCTTTTGAACTTCAGCTAGAGTTGGAGGACCTACTTCAATGTTCCATTCATACTGTCTGGGAATAGAGGGTAGTTGTAGAGTAGCTGAAGGCCAACTGAACTGCTCCCTAAAACGTTCCGCCCATCGTTCTAAACGTCTGGACTGGGAGCAGATGAGAGTGTCGTCTTTTTCCGAAATAGTCTGACTTACACTTGATTTATTAATTCCAGTTTCTTTTATTAGTCTGTAGAGTTGTCTTGTGTTCCCTATAGCCGCCGACTTTTCCATCTCTTTTGCTTTCGTTGCCCACCACTGCTCACGATCGTTCCTTAGACTTTTGCTTAATCTAGATCTGATTTCTTTACGCTCTTCATCGTGTTCAGAACCTGATGGGATGAGTTTACGAGAATCTATCAGTGCAATAGACCTTGAAGAAATCCATTGGTTCTTTGTAACCCTGTGGTTTAAATCACCAGTACATGTCACTGCTGTTTTCACAGCTGCTTGTATGTCTTTCCAATCAACATCGGAGTCAGCCTCGTTTTCAGAACTACCTAAGTGTGACCTCAGTTGTTCCGGGAACCTACTTTTGGTTTTCTCATTACTCAATTCGATTCTGATGAGTCTTTTTTGTGTGGCTTTTTTGCGTCTAGTGAGGCGCAAGCAGATGCGTGCTCGTACTAGGGCATGGTCGGAGTCCAAGCAGGTACTCCAGAATGAGCGACAATCTTCTATCGACCCTCTCCAACGATGACTGATGGCAATATGGTCTATTTGAGTCCATCGTTGGTTTGGTGCAGGGGGTCTCCATGTTAGACGATGTCTCTCCTTATGCTTAAAATTTGTGTTTGCTAAAAATAAACGAGTCTGAGCAAAGTTGCAGCAGACGATCACCATTATCTGTTCTCTGTGCCGGAATACTAAAATACCCACCTAAATGTCTTTCTGTTTCGTTTAAGCTACCTACCTGGGCATTAAAGTCGCCTGCTACGAGTACTATGTCTGAACGTTTAGTTTTCTGAAGAAGTTCAGAGAGTTTTCTGTAAAATTCATCTTTCACTTCATCCGAACTGCAGTCAGTGGGGGCGTAGGCAGAAACGACGAAAAGGCAACGACGTGTGTCCCTATCCTTTCGATTTCTTACGGAGCCGTCTAACCGAACAGCGCATAGACGACTATTAACGGGGATCCACTCTAATAGCGCTTGTTCCGCCCTCATGCTTAGTGCTATGCCTACACCTGCAAGTCCACGAGAACTAGCCATCGGATCGCCAGATACACGGAGGGTGTATCTCGTCGGCACTCCGTTTTGCCGAGGTGAGGTCAAGTGAATGACCACACTAGGATCCTGTATGCGTGTTTCGGAGACACAGCATACATCAATGGTACGAGATTCTAAGGTTTTAGCCAAGGAAGCCTGCTGACCGATTTGGCATAGTGTGCGTACGTTGAAGGCTCCAATGTGTAGTTTGGAACGAGGTTTCAGTAGACCTGGGACAGTGTTTTGCGCACTAGAATCGTTGGCTGTGGTGACACTTGAGGAGGAAGCCGAAAGAGGGAGTTTAGATTTGAAAGTCGATGTAAGAGGAATAATAGGAATTGAAGAGGTAGGTTGATTATGAATACAGTGGTCTTGAGTGCTGTTAGAGGTATGAGGGCGGTTATCACTTCCCGGTTGCCCACACCGTGGAAGGGTTCTTCTGGAGGTACCTGAAAAGGAAATTGGATTAGAGGTGGTCATAGTGACTTGAGAGCGTGACCGCAGTGCCCAAGGGACAGCTGCTTGAGGTCGGTCACACACGACCTTTTTATGAGTGATTTTTGTGTTAGCTCCGTACTTGTTGAGTCCTTACCGCCGGAGACGGATATCCGTGGGATAAGGCGAGGTGTGCATTTTTAGGGTCGACCTTTTCTAACCCCTCTCCTCCTTTTGGGAAGGCAGCATCGCTGTTATGCTGGTTGTCTGAAGGAAACACCTTACTGCTGTCACACCTCTGTACAGTCAGCAGTACGACTTCGCCTTCGAACCTTGGATTTGTTGCTTTGAGTCTTACAGCTCTTCAACCAACCTGTCTGGCATGGTAGGACCTTGAGGAACGGTTGTTCCAGCCAGTATAGCTCAGTTGCTTCATCACGATAGGCAAGCCCGACCACCACGTCAAGGTAGCAACAACGGTCAGGACTAATTATCACTACGGATTGACAACAACAAGGAAACCCCTCAACACCAAAAAACAAGACATTACTTTTTCTAATAGATAGTGTGAACTTAGGTCCCAGAGGAAAGGACTACAAAATTCAGGTTTTTTACAGTAGTTCCTTTACAAATATTTAAATTTCGCTGATGATGGCGTTAAACTAACATAAGTACATGAAAAATGTATTGTTTTTGATGACATGAATTGATATATTGAAAGTTATTAATAGAGATAATCACTTAGGAATATAAACACCTCGATTACTTACAAACTTGTCTATCAAAAAACAATTGGTTAAGTTTTAGGGATTGAAATACTGACAGTTTGAAAAATAATCTAATATTCTTCATATCATTCGTATATCTTTTGTGAGAACAAAAAGGTAACTTCAAGAAAAAAAGGATTAGCTGAGCTACCTGGTTTGGAAGTAAGATAGTCCCACCACAAAGGACTGAAAAGACTGGGGCGAATAAGCTGAAAACAAACAGGAAAAAGATATTGTAATATGCGCTGAGACTTTGCGACTACATATTAAAGTGAATGGTTAATTAGAAGATTAGTTGTCTCCAGTCATATGCAAAATATAATTGCTATCTTGGTGTTGTAGTCGAACTTGACTAATGTAACAACTCAAGAAAAATGTAATAATTGGGGAACTTATTTCTTGAAGTCCTACTAAATGGAATAGGTGATTTGAAGAGTGGTATTTTTCCAACTAAATATATGCCTACAAGGAAGAACTATCTGGTAAAATCATAATTTGTTTTTTCCTATCTCACACTTACTTGACCAAACAACTCGACTATCACTTCTTGGTAAGTTATGTTAATAAGTATAGAGACGTATGCGCATTTATGTTACGGTAGGAAACACGTATGATACAAGAATATTAGTTAGAACACCTAACTTCACAAATCAAGAGTTATATCAAAATTTCATTCAACTAACAAAAAAGGCTACTGACTCATTAAATATCTCGTAATTTCAGCAACCGCAAAGTGTAAATGTGACTATCAACTTTACTGTACAATTTTTATGCATAGATAAGCAATATTCAGCAGCAGTTACACGGTTCCAACTACATAAAGACTTACGTCACTATTATACTTTAATTCGTTCGGAAAGAGGCCGGAGGAGACTAGAATAATCTCTCTAACCAAACATTGCGCAGAATATTGAACTTCAGACATCCATGCCGGATACTGATTACTGTTTAACAAAATAAAGCGACTCCAATTAACAGCTTTTTCAAAAAGATAGCCAGTTTTCACAGAAAGCCCAAGAGCTTGAGGTAGGAACGGTCCTCGAACATGGTCCACCCAGAGAGTTTCACCATCTCCCAAACGAGGACATAAGGGAATAACAGCGATTAGATCTGGGTATTTTGAGAACAAATGCTCAGTTTGTGATATGCCCCCACTCAATAATTCCCCTCCTACACGAGAACCCATAAAATGAACCTGTAGTTTAGCAAAAAAGAATTAGGATCGCACATTTAAGAAATACTAATTATTCTACTTAGAAACATAGAAACCTTACACAAAAGTAAAACCACAGAAATTGCGGTAAGATTATGAAGGAGTTTTTATGACTAATCAGAAATGACGGTGAAAGAGACTTGGAAATCTTTATGATGTCTAAAAAAAGATTGAGGTATAATTGTTGCTAGAGATAAGTTAGGGAACTAAAAACAATCGGTTGTGATATTAGACTACCTGCAAGTAGTTACAATTAATTAATAAATAATAACTTAAGGCAACTTTCCGTCATCTTATACAAACATATTATAAATCAACTGCCACTTCAATGCTTGGAGACCTACCCAGTGATTGCCATACAACGATCGGTGTGGAGAATATCGGAGCAAGCTGGATTTGTTTCAACCAACAAATCTTATGTAATAAGGTGACTTTATTACGAAAAAACATCACAAACAGTATTCAAACGAAGATACAGAGGACCTATCATTACAAATACAAATTCCGAATAAACAATATGAACTGAATACAGTCATCGAAGGCTGTCAGCTAGATGTCAAATGTTACGAGAATCAGAACTAGTCATATAGATGTGCCATATTACTTAATACCTGATGGTAAGGTAAATTTCGAAAATATTGTCTGACTTAAATAGATATGCACAACCCAAACTGGTTTCGTCTGTTACATCCACCAGGCTCATGTATAGTACCAAGGGACATGGCTTTCTTGAGAATTTTTAATGGTTTGGTACTAAAAGTGTTTACATGGCGTTTCTGATATTATAGGTGGAGTACTTGGTATCCTGAGACGAGGAGCAGGGACCATATTTAATGAAAATAACTGTCAGCTAAATAGTTGTAATTTTAGTGGCCTGTATTCGGAGGAGTGGCTTGGTGGTTAAACTGTATGGCCTTTAACTATTGGATAATGGGTTGGAACTCAGCTCCACTTAAATTGGTTTCGAAGGTATTACAAGCCATCACACGATGTTTAACTCAAAACTAAGCACATAAATATATACTTGGTTAATAATTTGTACTTTTTTAACGCACAGAAAAGTGCTTTTAGCAGAAAACATAGTATAAATTGTTCACCTGTATGAGATCAAAATAATTACAATGTATTTCCTTAAGAGGACTTTTCAAAATATCAATGATGGGAAAGTCAGAAAGAAATTATACAAACTTATTAACTCTACCCAATATTACAAATTTCAAAGAAACGGACAAGATGCTATGATTTCAATTATGAGAAAGTATATTTACACACCTTTCATTGTGTTAACATCTTGTATACCCTACAAACTATTACGGGCAGAAAACTAAGTTTTAGGTGGTAAAAATACCAAAAACTAGTACATGAGGTTCTATAGGTACGTTTAATACGTATCAAACACTTCCAAATGTGCAGGAAATCTACGTGGTATTCATTGGATTAGAGGCTAATTAGCTCGTATATACGGACCCCAAAACGAACAGTTACTACTGTTTGAGTTAATCTTGTTGTACCATAAAATCCCAGGCCTTTTAATCTTTCAATCCGAAATCAATAATCACAATTTGACTCACCACTGGAAGATGTGTCTTGAAAGCCATTTGATCACTTGTTAGTGTGTTGTCAACTAATAAACATGGAAGGTGAGTAGATGATAGGATGCTCATCAAACGATCACACGTTAATCCAAAGTCATGATTTGTTGCAAGATCTGTTGATACGCATTTCAGTAGATCCAAATGTGACCAGACACGAAGTGATATTACAAGGCCTTTTAAAGATAGTAGCTTGGAAGACCGACAGTAGTCAAGATAGGAAATTACACACCGCAACTTGTCTACTTCGGAGGATCGACTACAAGAAATTTGAGTAAATCCCTAGCATACCTATTTAAAATATTTAGAAGCACGTATGTAAAGTTGACATCATCTAGCCAATGGTTGGATAACGGGTTTAGAGGCAAAAGGCAAAGGAGCGAACTTGCAATGATGGAAGACGCGAGGTCGTAAGGCAGTAACGTACAACATTCTGAAATTAATTTAGTGAGCAGAGGGAACAATTATTACTTTGATTATGGAGACTTTGTAAAGATCTACATTTAAAAGCAAACTGCTCACTAATCACTATACAGTTGATAATAAACGGGAATACATGTGACTCGAAGTGCTTTCTCTCCTCTTGATGCATACAAAGGTAAATAAAATTCCCCAGGCCTACATATGCGTTGTGAACAGGCAAGATTTTGCCTGTAAGCTCATTTTGGTCAGTGGAGCCATAAAACAAGTTTCTAACGACGTCTAACAAGCGCAAAGATTCGGACAAGCATAACTTTTCCTGAATTATACGTGTAAGTATGTGTTTTATATTCTTCCAGTTATTCCCGTCACATGGCAGTAGTATGGTTCTGGAAATACACATGTAACCTTCACGTAGCAACGCAGAAGGCGAAGGAACCGCCTGAAGCGTTTGTTACTGCTACACGCATAATCCATCCCAGCATTTGAATAGACTTTAATAACTCAGACAGCATGTGGCTGTTGAGTTACTTTTACCTTCACAATAGCTATTTTTCACAGGAAATTTGGACCATCAGCAAATCTACACCTTATGTTCGTGTGCTAGTAATTCTACGCTTATGTACTTTGTGTGTACTTCAAATGGTTCAGATTGTTGTGGACGGAATAGAGGAAGCTTTCGCTTAACGGGCTTCCGTATCTAGTAGCAGGGGATCACCAGTACCTCCCGGCAGGAACCTAGGTATATTAACGATGAAAGAGAAAAAAGAAATTGGTAAGATACTATCCTTAGTCCTTAAGAATAGATCAAGTTGCCTCTTAAAAGACTCCTGGGAAGTCGCTTGGACTAGCTCAGCTGGCAGCGAATTCCAGCGTTTGACAACTCTTAAGAAGTAGAAGTTGTGCCTACAGTCCGTTCTGCTATGTTGTATCTCCGATTTCTGGGTGCTACCCCTTAGGTTGGTATTGTGATTAAGCTTAAGTGAGTGTTTAAGACGATGTCCAGAAGTGTTAGGAATACTGTAAGCCATCAGAAGGTCACCTCTAAGACGCCTATACTCTAATGGGTAAAAATTAAGTGATTAGAGGCTCTCTTCATAAGATTTAAATTTGAGTCCCCGAACTGATTTCGTGGCTCGCCGTTGGATACGCTCCAGAGTGTCCCTATCCTTTTGGAGTGTAGGAGTAAATACTATGTTTCTGTACTCTAAATGGGGAAAAATGAAATTGTTCAGGATTATATGTATGTATGTCTGTCATTCATTATTTTATCTAATATCCAAATCTCTGTCACAACAGGCTTAATATATATTTTAAATTATATCAGCGCTTGTAATGAATACTAAAAAAGAGTTAGCACTTCCCCTCTACCACTCCGCTCCTCCATTTTTCACGTCTGTCTGAGTAAACAAAGACCTAAATTCATTCCTAATTTGTCTTCGTATAACCACCGTTGATGAAACAGGGTTAATCATGGTATAATTTACGGAATAAGATAGATTTATATTCATGGGATATTCATGAGTTTGTTCAAATAGGAGTCAGAACTCGGACCACAAAACGCCGAACCTTTGAACTTTGCTAAGAAGAATTACCCATCTTTGTTTATTTGATTCTATATTACAGTATTAAGATAGCTTCCATTGTTACTTTTGAATGTGAAGAGGAAAAACACTGGTTAATCATAGGCGGAGTAACCGAGCAGTAATACGTGGAATGATCTATCCATGTGATTATGAAACTGAATTAATCTCAGGCCAGTTGTTGAAAATGTCAACAGGAAATGCCGTTACCACCTCTTCCAGAGGAAAGTTCTGACCCTTTTATATTCTCCGTTTACTGCTTATGTTTAGAAACAGGAACCAACGCACTACCCAGGGTGCGAAGTAAAAACACAAAAACTGGTAGAAATTGAGGTTTATTGACTCTCCAGATAATGAGACCAGTTATATGCCGATTGTGTAGAAAGTTAACGATTCGTTTTAAGATATAGCAACTTTTCCGAGTTTGACAACTATTTTACAAACAACAGCCTTATAATCAAAAGATACCGAACCATTCAAATCAGGAGTCAGAAATGAAGGGGTTCGGGGATATATTTGATACTATCTATGTGCCAAGAAACATTTCGTCTAAGCTGCCTAGTAGTTGGAAGGGATGCGTAGCACTATGTTCCCACTAGTTATCTCCTACGGATGCATGACCAAGCACATTCAACTAGGATGTGTCCAGTATAACAAACGAGATCAGCATCAATTTCGAAGACTTATGGAACCATTTATTTTGGAACATATCTAGCGCTACATGTTAATAACTATCATATAAACGAATAGATACACTGGCTTACTTTATAGCACATACGAAGTTTATACAGGTCAAGTTAAACAGCATAATTGTCAAGTCATATGAAAGTCGACAATAATTATAAAAAAACGAACTAAAATTACATTTGTAAATACAAATTCAACACCGCACTCACTGAAATGTCGCATCGAGAACAAAAATAATATCAAGACATCACACTAGGTAGGATAACTAATACGAGATATTGCGCTGAGTTGCAGAGATACGTAAGCTTGCTTACTTATTTTATTTTATTAACAAATTATCCCTTTTGACCGCAGAAAAGTTGGCTCAAAATTTTTTGTGAGCTCTTTTGTGTTTCAACCCAAGTGGACATCTTCCTATATGTAGTTTCTTGCTGAAATATATAATTGCCAGCTGCAGGATATATTAATATCCCCTGCTTATGTGGCCCCCGGATTGTATGGGTTCGGTCAACCGTTCAGCTCAAGTAGAGACTTGGTTGGTTTTCCTTAAACCTGTTTCAAGTGGAAAGTATCATTCTTGAGGTAAATTAGTATTCTTTCGAAGTTTATTTCCCAACTAGGCCATTAGTGGTTAATATGAACGGTTTTTAAAAGATCAGGAGTTAGGCTACTTAATGTTCTTGTGATGAGTTCGATGGCAACAGGAATAGCAAACGAAGTATCCTAAGATCCTTTCAACCGCTTTTATTAAAAATCGTTATTTCCCTAATCCTTCGTGTCCCAAATTTTGACATTTCCCCATTACACGTATAACCTTGGTTTTATAATTTTCAGTCTTTGAGTGAATGTTTATTAAATGAAATTAGCTAAGGTCTAGGTTTATTACCACATTGTGTTGTTTCATAATGCTAAGACGCTGACAATAAGGTCCTGTTTGACTAGAGTCAAGGTTATGGCGTGGTTCGGTTGATCACTGTTGTTCTTTTGCCGCCTGTTGGAAATGTTATTTAGATCCCGGCAAACAGATATTTGTCTCCAATTTATTGCGAATGAGCTTATTAATTATCAGGCACCTAATGAACATTTTCTAATCATTTTTCTGTTATATAGTAAGGTATTTTATGTTAGAAACATTTTAAAGTGTAAAGCACAAGCTATACTGTTTAAGGTATTTTGCCTTCTTGATTTAATTTGTTTTTTTTCGTTAAATTAGAACAAAGTAAGTCAGGCACAATGTTTGAATTTTGATAGAACCTTCACAGTTGACTGAAAAAGCATTGTATGCTGTAAAGAAGAAAGTAGTTCAGTCTAGTTGAATAAAATTTGGTTCGTTGAATCGTTTTACGCTTTCAAAACGAATATAGGCATTTTGGTCGTCATCGTATGTCTTTTTGGTCACAAAATGCCAATGAACAAATAAGTCTAAAGTATCACCTTGGCTGGCTTTTTGGCCGTTTTCCAAGTTGGAGGAATGATACTGGAGTTATCCATAAGTAAGGATTGTATAAATCATCATTCAAGAAAAGCCAGCCTTGAGGTATCTATGGTGTTTAAAACAGCAGTTTAAAATTCACACAAAACAATACTCAGACTAGTTATGTCACAGCCGGACTTATTAGCTCAATCCTCTTGGTTGTCTAGCATGACTGGTTCTAGGTAATTATTGTCTTTGTATCTGCCTGGCAGCTAGTCCAATTTCACTATTTAAGTGGCCTGGTTTAATAGTGAAGACATTTCACTACAATATGATTCCTGAATATCCTAACTGCAACATCGTTGTTGTAATTTTCATACTAACGCAATAAGTGGTGATTACAGTACCTCATCTCATGAGTTATGACAATGTATTCATGCAGATTACCGAGGCTCATATTTGAACTCGTATTATGCCTTAGTTATTAGTGACTCATATTTCAGATTTGCGGTAGTGGTGCTGATGAACAGTCTTGGCAGAAACTACTTAACAAGCAATGAGTAAGATAGTTAGTCTTGAAAGCAATATAATGTACAGTACAATGTAGCTGATAGTGGAACGTGAAAAGTCTGACAGCTGGTTCACTGATAATGGATACTGTCGTCCATCCACAACTTCACATCATCTTAGGCCTGATCGTGAGGCACTAAAACCTGTTGGGACCTTGAAGAGTGATATCACATAAGAAAAATACATCGACAACCGCTTACGAAATATTCAAGAACCCAAATTTTCTGGTGATATATGATACTGTTTCATTTTTAATCAACCGTTCGATATCTAATTGTTGGATATGCTTGTACATGGTACTCGTAATATCAGTGTTTTCTAACAGGGTGTGGGACTTAGAGTTTTGGGGTGAGAAATAACTACACTCTAACCACAACTTTTAAGGAGCCTAACATCAA